AAGTGGAGAGAAAATGTTTTGAGAATGATGAGGGCAATGAATGTACAAATGCGCTTTACACAATTGATGTGTGTATGGATTGTAATAAGAGTTGTATGAGTCCCTAATAAAATGATTTTTTTTAAAAAGAAAGAAAAAAAAATCAAATAAATAGTTCCAGGATTGAAGGCAAAAAAAAAAGATTTTTTTTCTTAAGATTATCAAGCAAAAACCCCAACATTATATTGTCAATTAGCCTGCACAAAGAATAAAAACTAATCCAAGCTGTCTCTTTACATTCTTTTTTTGTCAAGTATTATAAATTAATCTAAAATCTAATCCTCACTCTCTGTGTGTTGTTGCATTTAACATTAATTGTAATGATTTGAGAGATTTCTTCTTCTATTGCTGGTTGGGAAATATTTTTGAAGTCCAAACCTGTGTTTGTTTTGTTTTTAACTTCGGAAGGCTGTCTATATTTGGCTGTTTTTGTAACATTCCGAATATGATTAGCACCTTTGCCAGTAAAGCACGGACAGACACGTACTTGCCCTTCTAACATCTCTCTTGGTAGTCCCGTCCTCTCCTGTTCCGAGCTGTTAGTTCTTCTTATGGAAAGGCTGTGGGATTTGCGTTTTTGTTTTGCTTGGCGCGCAGTTGAACAACTTCCGCTGTCTGTGGGCATTACTTCTAGAAGATAATGTTCTTGTCACTCCTGCAATAAGCTAAACAGAAGCAGGAAGAAACAAATATTTTATTTCTGTTATAGCAACTTGACATAAAGGAAAAACACTGGACAGTTATTTTTTAATTACAAACTTTCTTAATATTAACTATATAACTTAGAATATAATAAAATCGTTTTAAAATAGAGATCATAGCCTTTGTTAATGAAGGACCTTTTACCAACTTCCATGGACATATTTTAAAAATCAAACAGCTTAAAGAAAGGTTTAAAATTAAGAAAAAAAACCTATCCCACAACCTTTTTCCATGCTCAGCCTACTGCCAAAGGGTAATACATTTTAGCGGTGTGTTCCAGACTAGATCCTAGAGCAGTGCAGTCCAAGAGAAATGCAATGCAAGTCACATATTTAATTTAAATTTAGTACCCACATAAAAAAGTGAAAACAGGCAAAATTAATTTTAATGACAACAATACATCCAAAACATTATCATTTTAACCTAAAACCAACACAAAAAATCCATGAAATAGTTTATATTGTTTTTATATTCAGTATCAGAAGCCAGTGTGTATTTGATCGCACACTAACAGCACACCTCAATTCGGACCTCCGACTCTTCAAGTGCTCAACAGCCACGTCGATTGGTGGTAAGCGTTTGCGGATAGTTTTAGAAGTTATTATCCAAATCTACAAACTGTTAATTGATCCATTTGAATATTATCTATCCTTCCAATATCTACATTAGGGAGGAGGGTAAAAAGAGGAGCTGATACCAAGGGCTCAAATAGAATGCAAATGTTTAGAAAATAATGATGACAATATAAGTACAAATATGTTTGATAAAACTGATGTATGGATTGTTATGAGAGCTGTAATTTTTAAATTATCTTTAAAATATGTGTGTGTGT